TTTTTAGCTTTTTATATTAGCTAATATCTCAACTTAAGGATCAAGTAATAACTCATCTTACCAGTATTTTGCAGATTCTTTGCATTTAAATTAACAGAATGCCAGAAAAACAAAACAAAACAAAAACAGAGTTTCTTTTTCAGGTTTTACTGAAGCTATATAATCCACGAACTATTTTCCCACACAATGATTTTCATTTCCTATTTTTGTAGCAAGAATATTTCCTTCACTAGTTCCCAGAACATCATTAATCCTTTTACTACCTTCCGAGCTTGTTTCACTAATGAGTTTGCATTGGTTCTATGTTACTTAAACTCCCTAGGGCACTGAAATCTAGCCATTTCAACTGAGCAGAGTTCCGAGTTTACCAAAGTTAATTTTCAGATTTCAATTTTCCTCAGTAACTTAGTCCTATTTTGTTATTTTTGAAATTCCGTAATCATATTTGAAGTTTGCTTCCTTTAGAATGCCTGCCAATTTTAATCAGTATGCTGATGATTTCCTTTCTGTTTTGCTCTGATACTAAACAGCAAATAGAAACAATTTATGATCTTAATCAGATGGCAATACTTTTGTTTTCTTGTGTGTCAGACTTAACCCATGCTTCTTCAATTCCTCTATCACTGAAGATCCAGTTTTCTTCTGTTCCTATTGCTCTTTCCATTACAACATCTTGTTTCCCATTAGATCTCAAGTATCAAAAACTGAAAGGTTGTGGAATAAAATGAGAAAAGAAAATACACACATTTATCTCAATCCTGAGATCATTTTAACTGCTGTCAAAAGCTATTCAGGAAAATCATTTTGATAGATGATTAGTAACAATAAAGTGTGTCTGACTAGATTTCATTCTTTCACAGTCTATTTTGACTTTTCCTTCCATGGATGTATTCAAGATAGAATCTATTTTTAAAAAAGGAGTTGCCTTTAAAAGAAAAGTTGTCCAAATATGGCTTAAGATGTGACTTAGAGTATTAATTTGGTGAAGTGCCACAAAATTACACACAAGGTACTATTTGGTAATAGTGGTTTACCTTCCTTCTCTAAGTAGCACTTAACTTATCTACATAATCAATTATCTTAGGGGACAGGGGTGCATTCTCTCTATGTGCTTGCAAGGAATGCCAGCAGAAAAACATCTCTGATTAATTTATAGAAAGGTACTGAAAGAATGAAGTGCAGAAAATCTGAGAACAAAGTTTCAACAACCAGTTGGTCTGGGGCCCCCAAATGCCTAAGCTAAAGCATTACAAAAGTCTCACAGAGGTCCCTTTCTCAATTCACAACGCCCAAAAGATATACTTAACAATGCTGTTTAAGTAATTAGGTCCAAATAACTTAATAAGTACTGTGTCCTAACAACTTAGCCTTAAAAATACACATACATAAAATGAAAGAAAAATATTTTATTTCATTCTTAAATAACCATGACTACTTATTAGTGGGATATACGACGTCTCTACTGGGTATTGCACAATTTCTCAAACATTAGATTGAACCCTGCCACTGTCATTTCCTCTTGCACATTGATTTTCTTGTGGTACTTCCTTCTTATCATAGCAGAAGCTAAAAGTCCAGCTTCACAAAGACATGACATCACTGAAAGGAACGTAGCCCAATCTAATATGTTGAAATTGTAATCTAGCTTAGGAGTTCATGCAGTATCAAATAGATGTTGAGTATCACTCAAATTTTTGTATTCACTCAAATTTTTAAACTATTTCATGACATCCCTCTGAGTTTGCTATGGGTTCCCAGGGTGCCTAGGCACACTGTCTGGGAATAGCAGTCTTAGTATCTTCTGGCTAAAGTCCTGGTTAAGCTATTTACTTCTTACTTTAAATGCTTAAATTTACCCAAAGCCTCAGATTGACAATACAAATAGATCTGCTCTTAAACCAGAGACTCTGTAACTATCTACACCTCGAGGTTTTCCCTTGGAATACAACCTTGAACTTGGTGGATGTCCAATCGTTGAAAAGAATCCAGCTGAGATAGAAAAATATCCCAAAGGGCAATACCATACATTCTCAACCTGGGAGATAGGACAACCTATCAGAACCTCTCATAGGGAATAAGGGTACAGGAAATCAAGAAGAATACAGTTGACCCTTGAACAACACGGGGTTTGAACTGTGTGAGTACACTTATATGCAGGTTTTTTAATACAAAAATATTGAAAAAAATTTTGGAGATCTGTGACAATTTGAAAAAACTTGCAGACAAAGCTCACAGACTAAAAATATCAAAAACATTAAGAAAAAGTTAGATATATGTCATGAATGCATAAAATATATGTAGATACTAGTCAATTTTATCATTTACTACCATAAAATATACACGAACCTATTATAAAAAGTTAAAATTTATCAAAACACAAACACTTATAGAATGTATATGGTACCACTTGCAGTAGAAATATAAACATAAAGAAAGATGCAATATTAAATCATAACTGCATAAAATTAGGCATAGTACATACTGTATATGTAAAGTTGCTATTACAGTGAGCTCAAGTGTTACCAGTATACACTTAAAATGTCGTGTGACTTTAATCATCACCACATGATGATCAGTTCATCTCTCCAGTACAAATTAATCTCTCACAGTTCTCACATATATTTCATCATGTTTAGCGTAATACTGTAAACCTTGAATAACACCATGGAACCCGTATAAAATGCCACTAGTGATGCAGGAAGTGCTCCCAAGAAACAGAGAAAAGTCATGACATTACAAGAAAAAGCTGGATTGTTTGTTATGTTCCACAGATCAAAGTCTGCAGCTGCAATTGCCCTCCATTTCAAGATAAATGAATCCAGTGAAAGGACAATTACAAAAATAGAAAAGGAAATTTATGAAGCTGCCACTGCAGCCACACGAGCAGACACAAAAACCTTGTACATTATACAAAATAACTTTTTGTCTAATATTGAAAATATAGCTTTTACTTGGGTGCTGGACTGCTGAGAAAGGAATACCTGTAGACCCTAATATGATTTGAGAAAAAGTGAAGTAATTATATGGCAACTTAAATCAAAAGGAAGATGAACGATCTAAAGCTGGAGAATTTTTTGCCGGCAAAGGATGGTTTGATAATTTTACAAAGAGGTTTAGCTTAAAAATTATCAAGATAACAGAAGTAGCTTCTGCTGACCAAGAGGCAGTAGACAAGTCCCCAGATGCCATGAAGAAAATCATTGAGAAGAAAGGATATCTGAACAGGTTTTTAATGCAGATAGAAGTACTCTTATCTGAAAAGGGGGGAAAAAAGCCACAAAGGACATTTATTAGGAATAAAGAGAAGTGAGCAGCAGGATTTAAGGCAGGCAGGGACAGGCTAACTAAATTGTTTTACACAA